ACATAAATGTGCCCCAAAAATAACTACTAAAATCCACCAAAATAGCTAATATTTAAAGCCTCCTCCTTAGGAATCCACAAAGAGAAAACCGAGCAACCACAATAGGGAAAATGTGTAACCAACAACAGGACAACAATATGGGGAAAAGCATACAACATAGGGAAAGCCAACAACATTTAGGGAAGATCAAATTCATGTAATAAAAAGGCACACCTTACAACTTCAAATAAAGTGGACAAAAATAACAAATAATTTAAATAAAATATGATGCAATGACACCTTACAACTTATAAAAAGTTTGAGAAAAAATGTATAAGTGTAATGAAAACTGTGGAGGGAAGAAGTAGATAGAAGACCGAGACGAAATAGAAGAAGTAAGGTAGAGAGGATAGATCGCAAGCTAATAACCCACAAGTTTCACATTCTAATAATTCTTCACAAATTACTCCTTTTTTATAAAGAAATCAACCACCTTATATTGAAAAAGAAGGAGAAAGGATATTAAATGCTCACTTAAATTTGCCACCCAAATATTCAATATAAGCCTTCCAAATCATCCACAAAAGCTCTTTCAAATCATCCCAATTAATTAGAAAAGTGAACATCCTACATAGGTTTCAACAAATGGGGAAACCGAGTATCCACAACTGGGAAAAACAAGTAGCCAACAATAAAGCCATCAAGGAAATCAAAGGGGTAGCTTAGGAAATGAAGAGCTAGGAGGGAAAACCAAAGTCCTTAACAGCATCAATTCTTACCTTGTGAAAAAATCTCATCCCCTAATGAGAATGCCTCAGAACTTCCATAATGTTTCGAATGCACAATTTTTTATGGGATATTTTCCTCTTGAATTGGAACTTCGACTTGTTGATTGATTTGGCAATCTATTTTTTATTTTTTATTTTTAAAGAGAAAGGAAGACTCACAACAACCTAATTCTCTAATACCAAATTGATGCAATAAAAAAAAAATACTACACTAAGATTGCAAACTAAAAGATGTTGCAACCCATGACCCCAAGCTTAAGATTTTGATGATGAAAAATAATAATTGACTTGAGATTCATTGAATATTATTTGCTATTGTCCGTGAGTACTAACATTTCAGGAAGATCAAAAGCTACTCAGGACGACAGGAAGACTCAAGGATGGGTAGATTAGGAGTAAGAGTCTGCAATGTATTCTCTTTTTATTTCATTTTTATTTTCTTGAGTCTGGCCACAAAATGTATAAAAGCTCGAGTAACCATGCACACACACAGGGGGAGAGGTTTTAAATGTAGAATGTAATAGAATTTCTTCTCTGTAGATCGTACTGTACGATGATAATTCGTACCGTACGATTAGAAGGTTGTCATACGATTCTGTGAATAGATCGTACCGTACAAAATTATATCGTACTATATGATATGTTTGAATCCAAAACCCTAGCCGTTGTTTAACTTAAGTAAGAAATTTTTCGCCGTTTGTATTGTACAAATATGTTCGAACTGTACGAGTATTTTTAAATACTTACTTAACTTAACCAGTGATTAGTGCAAGAATTTCGGGCTTAATTATAATTTGACCTTGTACTGTACGAACCCATTCGTACAATACGATGAATAGAGACGAATTACAATCGTCCCGGACGATTAGTTGTTTTTGTCCCATCGTACTGGATGATGTATATCGTACCATATGATGAATAGAGACGATGTCTGATCGTCCCGACTATTGTCTTGTACGAACTGTGTTGTCATGGATCGTACCGTACGATTTAGTATCGTACCGTACGAACATTTTTGAACTGTTCGTACCACTTCGTACCAGGACGAAGTCTATTTATGAAGATCATACTGTACGAGTATATAACCGTACTGTACGATAGTAACATCTACTTTGAGATTTCAGGGATTTTGGAGCCCGTTTTATGGGTAAAAACTTGTCATATTTTGATGTGTGAATCAAGAGAGGAGAACGTGGTTAGAGAGGGATTCCAAGGGAGAGAGCTCTAGAGAAGTTCTTTAGGGTTTGAGAGAGGAAGGAGAGGGTGAGCGTTGTGTGGGAGAAGAGGTGTGAGGGAAATCACACAGTTGCTCCGAACTTGCTGCATTTTGCTCCTCCTATGGCCCTAGAAGAATTTGAGGGAGGATCTCCAAGGGAAATGCTCGTCTACATCCGTGACCTCGAGGTACTCTGCCTTCTCCAGGAGGGAGAAAAACGAGAAGGTTCTCTGCCGTCGCCAAGAGGGCGAAAACAGAGTTTGGCACTCCGCCACGCAGGGTTGGTGAAAGGGAGGTTTGTAAAGGCTTCTTCGTCTTGCCAAGGGGGGCAAAAGGAGAACTATAGTTGGTAGTGAAAATCCCGGAGCGGAGGACTCCGAGGAGTGGACGTAGGTCATATTTTGACCGAACCAACATAAAAATCTTGGTGTGTTTTTTCCTTACTGTTTTTTCATTACTGCGTGCCTTTTTAATTTCAAAATATTTGACTTGGAAATTTAAAAAAGGTTGTTTAATTTTTCATATTAAAATTCTAAAAACAACAAAAAGATTTAGAACTCCTGCTTAGGTTTTAATTATTGTCAAAAAGTTTTTACAATTCACCCCCCCTCTTGTCTATCTAGTAATTTCAAAAGACATATTTTTTCCTTAAAATATAGACAAACTTAAACAAGATAACAATACTATTAAAACAAGACACACTACAACTTATAAAAGTTTGAGAAGAAAGATACAAGTGGAATGAAAACTATGAAGAGAAGAATTAGGTAGAAGTCTGAGATGAATTTATTAGGAGATAGAAGACAATAACTCGTAAGCTATTTAAACCCACAGGTTTTTGTTCCAAAGATTTTCAGCAAAAAATATATTTCTAGTAACCAAAATAGCTCTATATATATCAAAAAAGGTCTAAATGCAACATAAATGTGCCACCCCAAGTAGCTAATAGAAGCCTCATAAGATAGCCCATTTAACGAGGAATTAATCCACTTAGTATAGGAAAATAGTAGGGTTGAAATCGAACAACCCGCAAGAGGAAAAAAGGGGGACAACACCATGGGAAGAACAACCAGCATAGGGAAATAAAATTTGCATGTTGTACATCAACAACCATACAAAATCTGCCTGGAGCACATTAACAACAAACAAAATGGGAATCCAAATATTACAACTAGCCATCATGGGAAGATATGTGTCAAGCCCAATAAGGAAAAATAACACAAAGATTAAATACCCATATAGCCAATAAGGAAGCAAGGAAACATTAAAAAAAATATAGCTTTGCCCACATCAAGAAGAGCGCCCATAATACCAATATTCAAAGAACCATGGGGAGCAACAAAGGCATCCAAGATGGGATTAGAAGAGCTTGAATACACTAAAGTGGTGTAAATAATAATCATTTGTGGTTTGATGTTACTTAAGAGGTGCTATTTACATGTGAGTTAAATGTTGAGACATTAAGGTCTTGAACCAAGGAAGGGTTTGTGGATATGGAGGGAATGCTGGGATTGTGAGTGGAATAAATATTGGGGTTTGCAATGGTGGTTGTTTAGCATGAATGGGTGGACAAAGATTGTGACTGCTGCCCCTATCCATAAAAGAGATATTGGTAGGTTGTTGGATATAATGAAAATGAATATTATTTGTATATTTGGGATAAGAGGAGTCATCATGGGAAAATGTGCCACAAAACCATGTAAGAGCAAGGATTCCATTCATATAAAATTGAAAGATACGCATCCTTCCCACATATATTGATGTTGATCTCATCAAAAAAACTGGGAGGAGGTAGAGAATTGGCCATGCATACCCGAGCAAAGGTTAATCAAGATATTTTTGCAGCAAGGGGGTCAACAATCAAGGGAATACCTATTTTGCTTGCTATTTCTTGAGATACCCAATTAACTTAGACCAACAACATAAAGGGAGATTAGGGATTTTAACCCAAATAGACACATCCTTAAAATCTTCCTTAATTGGAGCAAATTCTAGAGTCCATCGCTTAAAGATGAATGGCCTCCCATTAAGGAACCAAGGATGTCTTGTGGATGTCTTATGGATGAGATGTGTGACTTTAGCTTGACTTTTGATGGGTCTCGCGTTAAATAATTATTCGACTAAGAGAGGAACTTCTATAGTCACCACGTCGGAGATGTGACTGCTTGGAGGATGTGGCTGAATGTGGTCTGCCATGCTTTATTGATAAACTCCTTAGCTCCTGAGCGAGTCCTCCAAACATACTTTTCTGAAATAAGAGATAATTCACCTTTTGCCCAAACTAGACATAACCTATAAGATACCTGTTAGAGGGCACCTTCACAAGTAGTCATTGGTGTATAGATCCATATCTGACTTGGTCAGGAGGCCATAGCCAAGAGGCCTGATTTAATAGATGAAGGGAAAGCACAACAGGGCATTTATCTTTATAAACCTGACCAAGCTTATGAGAAGGGGAATATGAGAAGGTGGTGGAGCGGCTTGGCAGGAAGAAGTGGCAGTAGGTTGGTGAGGTAGGGGAGAGCGCACATAGGCGGGATGGAAGAGGAAAAAGGAGGAGGCATGACGAGGCAGATAGAAGTAGCAGCTAGTGGGCGAAGCCGGGAGGAGCAACGACGACCAACCATGGGGTACTCGAAACCCCTAAGCAACCCATTTGAAGTTCCCCCTCATGCTATGTCGAGGTGGTGAAGCAAAGAGGAGGATGCGGCTCACAAAAATCTAGTATGTGAATTTTCCTAAAAGGTGTGGTCTTTGAATATTCCTTTTTATAGTAATTCTTTTTATTGGGAAAATATATATTTTTTATAATAAGCTGAAATTATAAAATTATCATAAAATACTTATAGTTATTTAAAAAAACCTACTTTGAGGTCTAGGCTAGCTCGCCCGACGACACATCGTCGTCCTTCCCACTTTCAGCCGAGGCTCGGCCGCACGATTCAATACCCTCCTCTTATTATTATTATTATGTTTTTTTTTTTTAATTTTATTTTTTCTTGGAATCACATCGAATCCTTCGGAGCAAAGCTTCTTCCCCTATGGACGCGGATGGACGACCGTAAGAGGACCATCCATAAATTTTACTCGTGCCACCTCTTGTTCTCTAAGTTCTCTCTCCTAGGGTTTCCAACATTTCTGTCCTCCATAGGGTTTCCAACATCTCTATCCTCCATAGGGTTTCCAACATTTCTACCCTCCATACGTAGGAGTGCACTTTGACGACCATTCTTCTTCTTGCAACGTTATTTCTCGTTGTTCGTCTGTCTATGGAGGGCTCAGTCTTTTGAAGCTAACTTGTGTAAGGACCAATCGACGCTAAGTTTTGTTGGTGGGTGTTAGTTTGATCCAATTTTAAGTATGGCAGTTTTATGAATTGATTTCACCTATTTTGTTCATTGATGGGTAGTATTTCAATTCGCTTGTAGAATACCTGACTTGATTAGATGCATTTTGACTTGCGCCCTTCTTTTGACAGGTTGCTATTGATAGTAGAATGAGTTCCTCCTCGATTTTTAAGAGTCTTCGGGAGCTTTTCCCTCAGGTGAGGCGTCAGGTTTAATTTTCTTATTGAAAATATTTCTTTTTCATGTCCACTAATATTTTTGTCCGTGTATTTATCTTCCGTCACTGATTGTGATTTTGTATTTGATTCTGATATTTATACCCTTGATTATATCACATTTTAAATTTGTTGCATAATTTTACCTCTCAACTCTGAGCGTCTGATATATTTTTACCAACTGGAGCCATGGTTTACCAAACTTGTAAGGGAACAATATTCTTACTCTTTCATGGACATGTTTTGCAATGCAAGAGAATTTATTCCATCTGTCAATGCAATTATTGGGTTTAAATCCACTTTTCATTCACTGGAAAGGACATAAAACGTTTACAAATGTTGAGCAGAAAATTTTTTCTTGAAAGATTGGAGTCAACAAAATATGAGAATATCTCTGTTGGATTGTTTCTTATTTTCCAAAGGTTTTGATCAGTTGGCATTTTAAAGAATTTAGTCAAGCATGTGTTTCTATCTCCATTAAAATTTATGGAAATTTGCTAGTTTGGATGATCTTGAAGATTACATTAGTTTTTAATGAGTTTTTGTTTATTCTGGTGATCTCCTGATGCAAAATACAAATAAATGAAATTCATAAAAATGAAAAATCTCTCCGACATGACTGCTTGATTGATTCTTTATTTGAGCCGTTGCAAGCTTTTTACCAGTACCCTCAGATATTGTTTACAATAACTGATCTCCTTGTTTCTATGATTTTCTGATCATAATTCTTGAGCCAATTTATCAGTGACATGAATGATTCTTCTTCCTCAGGTGGACCTGCGTATATTAAGGGCTATATCTATTGAACATGAAGAAGATATTAATGAAGCAATTGAGTTTATCTTGTCGGAAGTCTTACCTGCAGCAAACACAAAACCAGATTTTCCATGCATTCTTCATGACAATGGTATTCCGGAACAAGAATTAAGGGAGAGTATGTTTGCTTATGCCCTCTCAAAGGATTTCCTCATTTTTTATCTTCTAGTGGGGTTCTCATTCGTTCAAGTGATTTTACTTTCACCTTATGAGCATGTTTGTGATCATAAATGCTTGGAGGTAGAATGCGCATCTTGCATGTGTGAGCTTTATTTTTGTGCAGATTTGTATGCCTACATTTTTAAGTTTTGTAGTGTGTGTGCTTATTTTGATTTCTATTCATGCAAACTTTTTTGCTTATTCTCTAGGTTATTTTACATGCCCACAAAAGTGTGAGATACATTTTGTTCATTCATTTATGTATTATTAAACTCTAAAACTTGCACATATTCATGTTCACACTCCTATGCATGTTTGTTTTCTTTAGCGTTTGTAATATGCATTGCACTTGAATGAAATTTGTAAGGATTGCTTAAATTTTCTTTTGATTATGATAAAAATAAGCTTTTGGGGGATTTCCATATATACCACATAGTTTTTAATATTAGTATATCTAAAACATAAAACTTTATAATACTGATATAAAATTTTAGGGTCTGAGTCACTTCAAAACATTTGTATGAAAATGTGTATTTTATTTTAGACAAGTTAATTTTAGTGTTATTTTCGATATGATTTAGAAATTAGGTGTTGTATAAGTGAATATAAAGATTTAAGTGTTAGATATGTAAATAAGTAATAATTCAATGGCTTGTATGGAAATCCTCCTAAACCATTTTATGAAGATAGCTTTCTTTGTGTGGATGATGATAATTACTATGTTGAAATACATGTATGCATGTTTTATTGTTATGCACGTTCTAGATAATGCTTTGATTTTAGTGCTTGTTAGTTCTTACTATTAAAATCTGTTGATGATAGAATTTATTCAGGCCTCTTACTTTCTCCGTCATCTAACATATCATTTTAGGTGCTTAATCATAAGAAATGCTGGATATGTCTTGTTAACTAGTTTTTCTTGTTGGTTCATGAAGGAGACAATGGACCTGAGCATATCAACATTCCTGATGACAAAACAGTCTCTCCTTTTGGCATGCCAGATTTTATTGTAGGAGCTGAAAATCGAGGCATGGACTCTTTAGTTGCAGATGGTACAAAAGGATGTGTTTTATGGCAACCCCATCTTATGTTTTTAGCTGCAGATTCAAAACCAAGTACAGAACAAGAAGAATCTAGTTATAATAACGGCTTGAGTTTGAATTTAAATCACTTGTCTGAGAAAGAGGATGAGAACTTCTTTTATAAACCACCTAATCAAAACAATCATTTTGAATCCCTCTCTGATGGAGGACCTGAGAATATCATTCTGACTAAACAGCTTACCAAATATTCCGAGGAGCTTGAAACTAAAGATGTGTTTCAATTGAGAGATGGAGAAAACATTACAGTTCAACTTGATGAGCAAACCATTTCATCAGCTGTTTTTGATAATAACTGTGAAAGTCCCGTGGAATATGGATCTGAAAAACAGAATGACATCAACATTGAACTAAATGTATGCGACAATTTGTCTGGATGTTCTAGTGATGGATATAGACCTTTTAATTTGCATGACTTAGAAACTGTGGTTTATCCATCGCCTGTCCTTACATGCGCTCTTAGCTTGTCAGGTGTCAGTGAGAAAGATCAGATTTATCAGGATTCTATAAATGAAACTTACAAGGATGCAATTGATTATGAAAATCATAGCGCCCATGATTTAGATGTGAATTATTTGGATATTTCATCAGAGGAATATGTTCTCCCTATAGATTTAGCTACTCAATCAGGTCATGCAGTTAGCACAGATGTGGTTGAGGAGTCTATTGAGGATGCCAAAATCAGCAAGGTATGATGTTTGAAAGTGTGTTTGTTTAATTTTGTTATTTAGTTTTTTGTTGTCTTTAAGAAACTTTGGATGTAGACATTGATAAGTTTTCATCTATAATAACAATGATGTAAAATTTTAGGTATTTTAAATTTTTTTAAATTGTATTATATGTAGTTATTTGAAGAAGGTTAAAATGATTTTATCCTTTGTTGTTTTATTTTAGTAGAAATTGATATAGACACGGGACATGGACACGAACATGTGACACATGTATTATTGAAAATATAAGACACTAACATGCATTGAACATGATATCATAATAATATATTTAAAAAAAAAATGTATGGGACATGATATATAATATTGTTGAACCCTGAATTATGGGATGAAGCATTTAATGTGCTCAGCTTATTTTGTCATCAATTGTATTTTTAGTCATAGGCATTTTTTCGGTGTGTTTGATTTTTTTCCTCATTGAGCTCTTGCATTTTTTTCTTTAGCCTAAGCAAACATGAAGACGATGAAATTCAATTTCAAAGTCTTTATTACACAATCAACTATATTATGCTCAATAACCTTGTTTAAAATTGCGCAATATGAGGCTCGCCTTGAGGTCCGCCTTTGCGCAATTCCAGTAAAAAATGCCTCAATGCTTACGCCTCGAGTTTTTTTTATGAGGCTTGCGCCTCAACTTGGTTGAGGCCCGCCTCGCCTCACTGGCATGAGGCTTACGCCTCACGCTATATATATTAAAACTTACATAAATCTTGAAGTAAATGCCCGACATTGGACTCTATAGGAGAGGAGGAAGGGGAGAGAGCAGTTTATCATAATGATGATTCAAATGAAGAACCTCTTAGTGATGACAGTGTTGATGACTTATGAGTTCTTATGTGACATGTCATTGCTATTTGTTTTTGGAAATTGGAATTATATGTTAATGAAAAGAATACTGGGATGTGGGAAAGATAGAATCTTTAGTTGAACTATATTTCATGTTGTCTTATTATTGGGATATTTTGATTTCAATTCATATCTTATGCTTTTTTATGTTTTATATTATTTACTCATTAGTATATAAAAAAATTATCATTTTATGAAGCAATCTTTTGATTTTGAGGCTTACGCCTCAAAATGCCTTGAGGCTTACGCCTCGCCTCACGAATGAAAAATGCCTCAATACCCGAATACGCAATTTTAAACATTGCTCAATAACTCTCTCCCATAGTTTTAAAGTATTACAAATTAACTTAATTCATTTATAATTCACACACAGTTGTTCGTCACCTTTATTCTTAAAAATATGGATCAACACACTCTTCCACTCATATGACATTTTTTTATTCTTCAAAATAATATTGAAAAGTTTCATAAGTCAAGAAATTCCTTTATCTCCTAAACACTTCCACACCTCTATTGGAATATCATTAGATCCAACAACTTTTTCAATTTTGCTAATACGTCGATAAAATAAAATTCTTTATTTTCATTTAGGTTGATAATGTTACTAATGTCAATTGTATTTGCACAATCTTCATTGAAAAGTTTATCAAAATATCTCATTTACCTTTTTTGAATATCATCTTCTAATAAAAGTACTTTTTTATTTTCATCCTTAATACAATTCACTTGAATTGAATCCTTCTCTTATCTCTTTGCTTGACTAACTTATACATATATATTTTGCTCTTTTTGGTATCTAATATATTATAGAAATTATTAAATGTAAAATTCCTTACATTGCATATTGCTTGGGCCACTTTATAACTTTTTCAATTTTCAAAGTTTTTAAATTTAAACCAATTTTAATAACATTGCTTCTTATTTTTGATCTTTTTTTGTACATTTTGATTCCAGCACAAACTATTTTTAATATTAGTAACTTTTCTTTTTGACATTCCAAGAACATCCTTTGCAACATTTTTAATATCACTAGTTATTTTTTCCCATTGGTAAAATCTTAAGATATTGAATCTTACTCAAAAATATTTTTGTAAGTGTTCTTTAAATGCCCCCATCTAATCTTAGTGCAACTTTTTACTTTATTTTTCATTCTCTTTCCCATTCATCGTAAAGTCTAAAACTAATAAACGATGTTGGGTGCATAAAATTTCACTTGGAATAACTTTACAATCTTTCTCCCAAGAGTCCATTGAGATGAATTCATATGGGTAGCTAAGCGTTGAGAATGTGTTTAGAAGCCCAACTTGTTGTTTTGGCAGACTAAAAATGTTGTAAATATATATTCTCTGTTGTACATTTGAATGCATATTTGGCTAATAAACATAACATTAAATTTTGCTTGAGTTTTCTCCACTCCGATATGTCCTACCAACTGTAAAGTAAATGTTTTCTGTGTCCATGTCCAAGTACAGGCTTCTTAGGCATATAATTGATTCCCTTGCAAGAGGAGCCCACCCTGATGAATATAAACCATCAATTTATTTTGTCCAAGTGCCTCCAATTCTTCTTGCATACAACATGCTATACTTCTTGTGGTGGATCTAATAAACCTGCATATTCTTGAACGAAGTTATGAAAGTGTTTGCAATTGGATAGTAAACCAAGTTTTTCATTTAAGTATGTGCAACATTCTTATATTTGATCAATTGTTGTAGGTTCTTTTTCCATTTCATTAGCCATGCTTTATGCAATTTTCCTTGAGTTTGCAAATATTATGATGACATATGATTTGTGTGTATGGTCACTTCTTTGATCTATATATTTCACCGCCTAATATATGGCAAACAACTTATCATAGGTGGAAATTTTTTTGGGCTCCCTATAATATCTTCGAGCGGCAGGCTACTAAAAAACCTTCTTAGATGAGTATGGCATCCATAACATAACACATCCTTATTGTGCTCAAATGTTTATTGAAGGTTGGGATGGATAACATCGGTTCCTTGGCTATATTTTATTTTAATTGGAAGGTACTCTATTTGTTTCCAACAACTAGAGTGGTTGGCAGCACTGGCAATGGCTTGCAATATTGCAACCAACATCAAGAAATGATGTAGTCAAGGACTTCGATTTTTCCTCCAGGCTCTTCGTTTCCCAAGCTACTCCTTCGGTTTCCTTGCTGGCTTTACTGTTGGCTGCTCGTTTTTACTTGTTGTGGTTGCTCGGTTTCCCCATTTGTTGAAACCTATACAAGATGTTTAATTTTCTAATTAATTGGGCTGATTTGGAAGAGCTTTGTGGCTATTTTGGAAGGCTTCTATTGGCTATTTGGGTGGCAAATTTTTGGGAGTATTTAATATCCTTTCCTCTTATTTTTCTATATAAGGTGGTTGCTTTCTTTATGAAAAAAAATCGAGAGATTTGTGATGAATTGTTGGAATGTGAAATCTGCGGGTTTTTAGCTTGCGAGCTATCCTCTCTACCTTACTTCTTCTATTTCGTCTCGGCCTTCTATCCACTTCTTCTCTTCATGGTTTCCATTCCACATGTATCTTTCTTCAAAAAAAATTTATTAGTTGTAAGGTGTCGTTGCGTCATGTTTTATTTAAATTGTTTGTTGTTGTTGTACATTTTATTTAAAGTTGTAAGGTGTGCCTTTATTTATAATAATATTGTTATGTTTATGGTAAGGAAGGTTTGAGTTTGCAATACTTTTTTTATTGCATCAATTTGGTCTTCCTTTCTTTTTAAAATCAAAAGCAAAAAAATGGATAGTTAAATCAATCAACAAGTCGAAGTTCCAATTCAAGAGGAAGATCTCCCATCAGAAATTGCGCATTTGAAACATCATAGAAGTTCTGAGGCATTCTCATCAGGGAATGAGATTCTTCCACCAGGGGAAAATTGATGCAGTCAAGGACTTCGATTTTCCCTCCTAGCTCTTCGTTTCCCAAGCTCCCCCCTTCGGTTTCCTTGCTGGCTTTACGGTTGGCTGCTTGTTTTTCCCTGTTGTGGCTGCTCAGTTTCTCCATTTGTTGAAACCTATGCATGATGTTTAATTTTCTAATTAATTGGGTTGATTTGGAAGAGCTTTGTGACTGTTTTGGAAGGCTTCTATTGGCTATTTGGGTGTCAAATTTTAGTGTGCATTTAATATCCTTTCCCCTTCTTTTTCTATATAAGGTGATTGATTTCTTTGTGGAAAAAATGGAGAGAATTGTGATGAATTGTTGGAATGTGGAACCAGCGGGTTTTTAGCTTGCGAGCTATCCTCATTACCTTCTTCTACTTCTTCTCTTCATGTTTTCCATTCCACTTGTATCTTTCTTATAAAAATTTTTATAAGTTGTAAGGTGTCATTGCGTCGTGTTTTATTTAAATTGTTTGTTGTTGTTGCCTATTTTATTTAAAGTTATGGTAAGGAAGATTTGAATTTGCAATATTTTTTTTATTGCATCATATATAGTGATTCAGATGTTTCACCGCCTAATATATGGCAAACAACTCCTTAGCATAGGTGGAAATGTTTGTGAACTCCCTATAATATCTTTGAGTGGCAGGCTACTAATAAACTTTCTTAGATGAGTATGGCATCCAAAACGTAACACATCCTTATTGTGCTCAAATGTTCATTGAATGTTGGGATGAATAGCATCGGTTTCTTGGCTATATTCTATTTTAATTGGAAGGCATGGTTTAAAATTGCGCAATATGAGGCTCGCCTTGAGGCCCGCCTTTGCGCAATTCCAGTAAAAAACGCCTCGATGCTTACGCCTCGAGTTTTTTTTATGAGGCTTGCGCCTCAACTTGGTTGAGGCCCGCCTCGCCTCACTGGCATGAGGCTTACGCCTCACGCTATATATATTAAAACTTACATAAATCTTGAAGTAAATGCCCGACATTGGACTATAGGAGAGGAGGAATGGGAGAGAGCAGTTCACCATAATGATGAATCAAATGAAGAACCCCTTAGTGATGACAGTGCTGATGACTTATGAGTTCTTATGTGATATGTCATTGCTATTTATTTTTGGAAATCGGAATTATATGTTAATGAAAAGAATATTGGGATTTCAGAAAGATAGAATTTTGAGTTGAATTATATTTCATGTTGT